ATGGGAAATTTCCCAAATGATTCATACGCGGCTGCGCAATGTTTTTTTTCAGCGACTAACGCTGACCATTGTTAGATACCTGCAAAGAAGTGCATCGATGTCCATGGTGCCCACGAGATGGACAGACGAGGCCAAGTTTATTATCCTGCCCCAGTTCGTCGGTCCAGCGGTCAGCTTCATGTGGTCAAGCAGAAGTAACGACAGAAGGAAATGACCCAAGTAGTTGATAGCAAACTGAGCGTCGTTAGCTGTCGCCATTGTCATCTCGCACGGAGGAAACATGACTCCAGCTGAGAATGCATTTTAGTATCGCTAAATAATTTAAACAACCGATTCTACACAAGTGTATGATAAATATCTGATTCAGCATGCAATTAATACTACTGTTATTATTACTATTATTATTATGATCAACATGATCATAATCACCATTCCATGATCATCATCATCATCATTTGAACTTCTAAAATATAAATTGAATTAATTCTGGGTGATGAAATGATAATGAAAGATGTAATGATATCCAGATTTATATTATGGCAGAAAACGAATTGAGATTACATGTTCATGAAGAGAAGCACATATGTAACACTATAGTGAACTCACCATCATTGATAAGGATTTGCAGTGGTAGTTTCTTCTCTAGAAATCGTGCTACAAACCTCCGGACTGACTGGTTCGACTCTAGATCCATTTCCATATACTCTACTGTATTATAAATTACATTAAATTAAAAGTCATTCTAAATAACCTAGAGAACACATACAGTACACACATGCACGCATGCACACGCACAAGCACACACACTCACACTTGCGTACATAAACATACATATATATACCATGGATCGAAATCCTAAGGGGGCCGCGGGCCCGATGCCCGTATTTTAAGGCTCGGGCCTGACATTTCTAATACTAGCAAGCCCGACGGACCCGTAAAAAATCCACCCCTGAGGTATTCGGGGAATGATGCAGGCCTGTAATTTGCCGGGCAGGCCTGTAAAATCCCTTACCTACAGGCCCGGCTTGCCTGTAAAGTTTCAAACTAATTTCTACCCCTGTATACATATTATACATATA